AATATAATATTATCCCTTTTGGTCACTGCAACAGACAATGTGGGCCCTTTAGGGGTCTAGGAGGTAACTGGACTTGCTCTGCCAGGTAAAGGCTGCGTATTCGCTGTGTGGACATGGTCCTGCAGAAGAAGTTGTCGAACCCCTCCATGACTAGGGTCAGGAATGCTGAGATTAATTAACTTAATTTGTTCTTCCTCTGTGTTCAGGTCTGTATCTTCAAGCATGAAATGTGTTGCACCTATTCTCCACCAACTTGCGACTGTAGACTCTTACCTATTGCTCTTGACGATACCTTGCTCTAGCTGTACCCCTAATTTCCAACTTACTCTGCCATACAAGACTGTGGTAATCATACATGAGCATCTCAAATGGACCTTCATTCAGGCTCCACACATGCCTTATTTTTCTGCTCAAATCTGTATTCAAATTTCTCCTTCACCTGTGGGAAAACTGCTACTGATGCTCTGAGGTACCAGAATGACATGCTGCTCTTGGATCAGGAGTATGTCCTCCTCTCATTGTCAGCCTGGAAAAAACTCACAAAATGGGGGGTGGGGGAAATGGACGGGCTCAACTCTTTCTTTCCCTTCTTTGGCACGTGGAACTCAGATGGCAGATGTGCTTGCACGTGCCCAGATGCATCATGATAGTTGTTCACCACCTTAATGCTTCCTAAATTTGGGCAACATACAGGAGAATGCATGGTAGTGAAAGGAATGTTTTAATCTCTGCTTCCTTTGGCTCTGGTGGCCCAAGAGAAGTAGATATTGTATATACATTGTGGCATCACTCTGCCAACTTCTGAATCATTCTGTATACCAAAGGTTGGCGGAAGAACTGGCCTTAGACTAGAATCCATTGTCCTCAAGGATTCTCCTCCTCTTAAGAAAGGGACTGACCACTTCAGGTCCCTTTTACCTTGCCAAAATTGTCTAGAATGGTCTTACAAGAACTGCAAACCAGACCAGCTCCTTTCCTATTATCTCTCATCAAGTAATTTTTTTTTTTTTTTCTAAGTGAACGCCAGAAATTTCCATGAGGAGAAGATCACATCTGTAACAGATCCTTGGAGGGACGGGGCCTGGGTGCATACTGCAGAGCTGTGCCGTTTCCTCTAGACATGTTTGAGGGCTCTGAGCGCTACCAAAGCACGTGAACAGCAGCTCTTACACTCACTCAACAACTCAACTCTATGGCCATTTAGTTAGCGCTTCATTTTTTAAACCAGTTGTTTGTCACTGTTCAATTAAAGAGGAGCACACTGCTTGCCGCCTAGATGCTCTGTCACAGCAGGCTTGGCAGATTCTGCAGCTCAGCATCCTCAAAGCCGATTAAAACCCAGCACCGGGAAGCCACTGTCCATGTGCTGTGTCAACTAGAAACGTGGGCAAGAGCCTGCGCTGGTTAAAAAATAACGTTAAGCACAGAATGAATCCCCCAAAGGCAACAGCAGGAGTGTTGGGGCTTAAGCAGAAAGCGAAGTGCTCTGAATAATTCCTGTTCCTCCCTGATTCTCCCAGGAGGGAGCATCCGTCACACACTGCCGTGCCAACAGGACAAAGACTCAACAAACTTCTGCTCACCATCAGTGTGCTGTACGTGCAGTCTGGAGCTTTAAATACAGGGGTGAGGAGAGAGCTATAAAATGGTCTTCATGAAAAATATACGTGTAACATACATATAAATGCTGTGATTCTTACAGGTTTTCAATTCACTTCTTAAATTGGTTAATTTTGTTCGTAAAAACATTTCTTTTCAATGTTACAAAGCAACCACAGAATCCTGAAGGTCCCGAGAACACAACAGCTGCTCCCGGCATCCACGGTGACATAGCTCGTACCTCAACAGAAACAGAAGGGAATTATTTTCATTTCATCCCCCCGTCAGCACGGCACAGCCCCTTTGCTTCAGCGTCCCTGCTCCACCTGCTTTCTGCTTGCCCTGCACCTCTGGCACCGGCCATCTCTCTCCGGTAGTTTCTGTCGGCAGCAAAACTTCTCAAAACTCTGCTCGCCTGAGCTGGGCAAGGCAGACATCTCCGGCTCTACGATCGCACTGTATGCCAACCAGCAGAGATACTTTCCCGTTGTGATAACTCTAAGCCAATTACTCCTAGCAGAACTATTTGCCTTTAAGGAAAATCCCTGGTCTGCCACATTCTATTACCAGCCTCCTTTTTGCCCTTTAGAAGTTCCATTATTAAGCACATCCTTTGCGTTGGTTTCTGCAGCCACCTGACAAACACAAAAATGGAGCTAAACTACTCCGTGTCTCGTAAGAAACTCCTGCTTTTATAAAACGACATTAAAAATATTGTCGATATTGCAGACTTTTTAACAATTCCACAGAAAATTCAGCAAGCCTAGACCTGCTATCAACTAAATATTCCCCAAATACTGCCTGGATTCTGTCTCAAGTGAAGCAGCGATGTACAGGTTGGGCGACGAGGACGCGATGCCTGGGCTCCGGCGGCAGCATTCTTAACGCAAAAGCCATTTACCGATGAGATAAAGGTAACGGCGTTAATCGAATCAGAGGTGGATACCAACACCCCGACCCACCACCTAGCCCACCGGCAGTGTTTGGCGATGCGTTGGAAGATTAAAACAAAGATTAAGATTAAAACCGAGATTAAGAGCAGTCTCTTTGTACAAGAGCAGCACGCTGGGCTGCAGGATCACACCTTCGCTTCCACCTGGAAATCCGCGCTCTTTCTGCGATGATGAATTTTGCCCAGCCCTGAGTGGTGTTTTCTGCCACTCCCAAAGGATGCTCGGCCCCACTTTTATTGTTAAATAAAAACGATAGCAAAACCCAGTAAAAAACACATCGCTAAAGCAAATAAACTATCTAAAACCAAACAGTTCAGAAGGCAATCTTCTGGTAGCAAGTACCATTAGGTGTCAAAAAAAAAAAGTAGTTAATTATCACCCTTGTTTCAGAGGGAATTACTGCAATAATGGATGAACGTGTCCGGACGGCTCACTAGGTTCTAAATCACCCACATTTTAAATGTGGCTTCAAATAGACAAAAGGAAAATATTATGATTAGTCTGACAGAGAGTGTTGTTAAGGAAATTAGAGTAAAGTAACTCTAGATAATTATATAAATAGATAATTAAAAGTAAATCAAAATAAAATGAAAAAAAAAAAAGCTAAAAATCCTAATGCAATTAGTTTCATTATATACGCTTTTACTTCAGCAAATTCTGTTTTGAAATTTAGTAATTCCTTAGTACCAGGAATAACGGAACTGATTTGTGCCCAACGATGCAAACAGTTGCATAAACATGTATTAAAAGTCACCGATTTTCATTTCAAATTAGTTAGGTTCAGGCAGAGGCAAACTCTGAGTGCAGAAGAGCCATAACCCCCCGGGTACCAAAGCCCTTCCCAAGATGTGACAACGCCACAACTACCACAGACGTTACACAAGCAAAACCCCATCCACTCAGCATAAACAACAAGCTCAAATTTTATATTTATTTTGCAACTTACAAAGCTCATCCCAGTAGGAGATCTGCGGGATAATGCAATACTTTCTGAACTCACATTTTCAACAATATGTATGTGCATCTTCAAGAGTCTGTCTTAATCCCTGGTCTCTTCCTCCCTGCACAAACTATTATTTCAGGCATGAATAATCAAACATATACTTTCTAAATCAATGAGTTGTGGTATTATTTAAAGAAAAGTAAGCTTGATGGGAGTGCAAAACAAGACCAAAAGAATATGAGATGGACTCTCCCAAGTAAGTACCAAAATGTCTTTATTCGATTGCAGCAGGTCCAGGCTGGGAGGGGAGCCATGGGAGCACGTGCCCGGCAGCCGGGGCGGTGGGAGCCCCGTGACCCCAACTGGGTATGGCATGGCATGGCATGGCATGGCATGGCATGGCATGGCACATCACGGCATGGCATGGCATGGCAGGACATGGCATGGCACAGGACGGCACTGCACAGCCTCCTCTGCTAGACCAAGGTTGGCAACCCAACTGGTATGATATGTCTCAGAGGTGGACATGGTAGCCAAGGAGGTGTTCATAGCAAGGAGCATTATTTTCAAACCATGTACTTCTCCTTGGGAAAGCCTAGCAATTCCAAACCCCAAGTTGGCATTGTCAATCTCTGGCACACCTGTAGCATTTGGCATGGACAGACTCTAGACAGGACTGCAAACAAGTGATACAGCACAACAATGTTCTGCCTTTAGAACACGAAGTTGTGAGATTTTGTAGGGACTTAGCTGTAGGAAGATCACTTTGCCCTGCAAAGGGAAGTAAGCAGAGGTGTTGCCATTTAACGAGAGTTTAAGCAATCCACAAATTGGCTCTTTCACTTTAATTGACTATTAAAACTCAAGCTTTGTAGCAATAACCTGCACAGACGACAGATGATATTTTTCCTTTAAAATTGTTAAAGGCAAAATTAATGGGGATGACTATGTTAATTTAACAACTCCTCTGCAAGTGGGTTGATCCCACGTTTCCTTAACACTGCCAATTCCCTCTGAAAAGTTCACAGTGAACCTGTGAATTTAGTGTGGTGAGGAGAGATGTCTTCGTTCTCAAGGATCACCATGTGTTTCCATAGGAAAGCTACAGCTATCCCTATATTTATCTATTTGCATGGAAGAGCTAATAAAAGATATATAGATACATACAGAGAGATAAAAAAGTTTAATTTTACTGCAAGTTTCTTTCATGTAATCTTTCTAGCATATCTTGAGCCACAGCCTCTGCAAACCCTCTGAGGAACAGCTCTTTAATCTCTGGTTTTCACACTGCAAATGTGCAAATTAGTTTCCAGGATCTGCAAGTGGCAGAGGACCACTTCTGCAAGATGGCAGCAAACCTTCCAGAAGAAGGAGGAACAACTCCGACTCACAGAAGATGAAATGAAATGAAATGAAAAATAAAATAAAATAAAATAAACACTTGGTAGTCCTCACAGAGGTCAGTACTCAAAAGGAAAGTCCTACGAACAAATGTCTTTCCTCACCTGCCTAATCCCTAAGCGGTAGGCAAGGATGCGGTCCACAGCATCGGGGTTCATCTGGGTCCACTGGAGACTGTAGGAGTAGACGCGGGGTCTGTTCTGCCACAGGGGGTTGTAGGTGTCGTAGTAGAACTCGGGAGCGTAGGCTTTGCCTGCAGGAGACATGAACAAACATGGGGAAAACAAACCAGAGAACGATCAGGCAGCCGGTTTTGGAGCCAAGCGTTGATGCCCAACCTGCAACACCCTCTCCCCCTGTGTTTTGAGTCTTTTGCTTAAATAACTTCTTCCAGAAGTTTTGGAATTATTTACCTCCACCAACTTTTTTAAAGGATTCGTGGCAATGGTTTGCCTTTATCCTTAGCTCACTCCTCAGTGGCATCCGTGGCCCAGGTGTGGGCATGGGAGGGGAAAAATTAACTGAGCTCCTAGCAAAGGCAAGCTGGAGCGATGTAACGTGCCTCTGCACTAATTTTTCATGGGCCAGCTGACTGAAATAGAGACAGCAAAACAATCTGCACTACACCGAGCAGAGACAGACTCAGTGACAGCTGCTGTACCTGGCACAAATAATAGGAAATGACATCCGTGAGCTGGAAATACAAGATGGATATTTCCAGTGACTGCTGCCTTCATCACATCTTCTCCTCTCCAACTTCCCAAGTCAAAACACGCACAAGCCATCCTTCGTAACATTGCAGATGTGCACACTGTTACTGTACATTATTTAACTGAACATACTGGTTTGCACAACTGAGGGAAACGACATCTTCCAGTGCATCTTGGGTACATGACTATTTCACCAGAACATTATTATAGCCTTCATCCTTTATAAGTGTGAAAAACCTAAACGATGATTTCCCAAACACATGACGAAACATTGCTTGAATTCTCTAAATTTGAGTTCCCTTTGACTTAAACCCATGAATACTAGTGACACCCTTACATGCAAATTACCTTTGTACCTCTAGAGTACCCCATGAAGAGTGATTTTGCTATAATAGCAAAAATGACACAGAGCACTCGATTTGTTTGCCCAGCAATGGGCATGTAGCAGCATCTGAGACACAGGAGGGTAGCTGAGCCATCTAGATTGGGTGGAAGATACAACACAAGAGCTGTAAGAGACTCAGGAACTGCCAGAGCCATAGCTGGAGCTGCGTGCACCATCCTAGAGCATCTCATGTACCGCCGGGCACCTCTGTACAGCCAAGTAAGTTGAATCCATAAAGGCTACGAGCAGATGTGGTAGGGAAAGGGATGTCTGCAATTAGAACTGCCCCCAAAACCTTTGAGGGAACTTTGCTCCTCTGGAATACACAATTCAACATACCCCAAAAAGTCTCAGTGGATTTGTCCTAAAGGAAAGTCAAACAACATTAAAGCATGAACCGGTATGTGCCAAAGAGACATAGATCCGTTTTCTATTTTTAAGTCATTTTGCATTGATCTTTCTTTAGCACGCCATACCAACATGGCAGCGTTGCTTCCATTTCTTAAAGCAAAAAGGTTTGGATTGACTTGAAACAAGTTTTAACAGCTGGATTTGTAGAGAGTTGTTAATCACTAGTTTTCGCCTTGGATCTGCTTCAACAGGAATAAAACCTCAACTCAAAGACTGACTGTCTTCCATGGAATAGGTCCATCTTTGCCCTGCCCAGCTCGGCCTCCTTTCTCGGCAGTTTCTATGCTTTGAGCACAATGCTATTGGGAACAGGATGGGGTCAAACCCAAACCTGGCTCTGCTGTGTTCAATTTTGTCACCTGAATTATGCAAAAAGGAGATGAAACATTGGAAACCAAAACATTTGCAGATGTTATCCTCCTGTGAAGGTCTAAAAGAGACTTTTCATTAGAGAAAAACTGAAGCAGAATGAGGTCTTTCCCCTCCCAAAGCTTATCGCTCTGTACTCCCATCTCTAGAGGAATTTTCTCAGTGGGAGCAATTACAAAATACAATGAAAACACAGGACAGCCTCATGGGAAGATGTAGTCTGCCTGCTCATGTCGACCTGAGAGGGGTATGCATTCATCACTCACCCCCTTTAATACAGATATTAGGAGCTTATGCCAAAATACACACTGCATTTAGGTATTTTCTCCTCAAAACTATTCTTATCTACAGGTGTAAACAGAGATGGATGGAGAGGCATTTTGACCTACAAGTCTGAGAGTTACAATCATCAGAAAGGTAGTGAAAAGAGGGAAAAAAACCCATAAAAATTAAAAAAAAAAAGGGGGGGACAAAGGAAAGACCAAGTGAATATATACCGACCTTGTGGTTATTGATCAAGCTTTTATCTTTGGGTGTGTCATCCCCTCCAGCCATGCTTTTCTTTTCAAAGGATAAAAAGCCCTTGTAGCCAAGATATTTTTGCCAATTGCCCAACGAAGACGCACATTCAATTAGACGAGACTAGAGCAGATATGCTAGTGCTGAAGTAGCAAACAACAATACTCCGAGGAAAAGAAGCAAAGCAAAACTGCTATTTTAAAAAATGAAATGTAAGATAAATGAAAAGAGGATCAGTGGTCGATAAGATTTGTTTTCCTTATTTATGTGCAGTGGAAATAATGGAGAAAAGCTCACACTGAATGCAAATTATAATCTTCTACTGCAGGTGGACATAATGGCATCTCTGGGGGTCTACAGAAAGGATCCATAATTAGACGCTTGTCACAATATGGGTACTTGAACAGCACAGTCACCTTTTGAGAAATAATGAGGACTCATGAAGAGTTGCATTATTCTAAATCCCTCTGAACAGAAGAGCTTTTTGGTGTGAACGGAGACACTGAAAAATTAACAACACAACATTAAGACCTTAGCTCGCGAACTTCAGAAGAACAGGAGAGCTGGGCAGTGTTTTAGAGTCCACAAAAAGCAGACGTCGCCTTTGGAGGCGCTGGAGCCATGAGACACGCAGGCAGTCTGCCTGGGCTGGAAGGTTTCCCCCGTCACCGCGACCATTGGCTCTGGCCCCAGACAAACACCGCAAGCCTGCCACCACCCAACTGTGCCGCTTCCAGAGGTGATGCTCCACTTATTCTCCTCCACTACAGAAATAAAGAGATGATAAAGTGTAAGAGGCGTAGCAGCAGCCCTTGGTTTAGCACAGTTTGAATGTGGGGAGGCAGCAGCTGACTTGGAGGAAACCCCCTGCAGCCAAGGTTAGCTCAGCAGCCAGCTCCAAGCCCTTCAAGGCCACGCTTGGAAGAGGTTATCACATATACTCCCAACCTGCAGAGATCTCTCAAGCACATAGCACATGGGGCTGCTGTCCCTCACACCTCAACTGGGCATCCCTTGGGGCTGCCAGCTCCACCACAACCTGCCTGTCTTCCTACAGCCACGGCAACCTCACCTTCCAAAAGCAAACCCCCTTGTTCTGTTCCGAGCGCAGGAAACATTTCCCCGGCTCACATCATTGGTCCTTTTTAAGCACAGGCAGCAAATATGGCCTTCCTCTCACTCCCTCCAAGCTTTCACAGCATTCAAGGCTTGATTAAAACATTTCAGGACAGGCAGGCAGAGCTCAGCTGCCCCAGGACCAAACCTCGCCAGGCTCCAGCTAACTGCAGGTACTTTGACCAACTGACCACTCCTCTGTTGCCCATCAAAGGGGGTTTTGGTGCGCTGGGAGGGACCCCAGGTCTGTGCCGATACAGATATACAGGGAAAAACAGTGAAACTCTTCTCAGTCCTCAGGAGGGTGCTGGCGGGAGGAGCAGCGCACCATGGCCATCGGTGGAGAGGCGAAGGCAGGGCGAAAGCGGGGCAGCCTCTGCAGGCAGCTTCCATGGATCCAGGAGCACCGCAGCCCCGGAAAGGGCAGCCTCTCGCTGACACGCCGCTCCAGCATGTCCGGAGGGGGAAGAGTTTAATGCCATGCTATTTTTTGTGTCTGTTAAGGCAATCTGAAGTCAGGTTTAGAGCTCCATTAACATGTACTAGTTTTAATTAATCCCTCCCTCTGTGCTCGCGCTGTTGGAATCTGAGTAACTGTGATGCTTGGGGCTCCGCCAGGGAGACGATACATGACACAGTTTGATGTGGAGTATATTGTTTGTTTTCCTTTCTATCACTAGCAAAACGTCTATTTTTTTCACCTTCTGAATATGTAGCATGTGCGAAATGCAGACAGTTGGGATTGTGTGGGAGTGGGGTAAGGGGAGGTAATACTGAATGCAGTTTTGCTCATCAGGGCTGGCCCCTGCACGAGGCAAAAATGCATCAACAGACAGACCAAATGTTTGTATTTGAAGGCTACACAGCTAAAATAAAGTGTGAATTCCTCCCCGGCACGCTTTCAGAGGCCACCCAGCATGAGCAGCGCAATTACACATCCTGCTGCATTCGTCGCTGTTGTTCCATCAACCTGAATGCATCTGCATATGGAGCCTACAATTATCAATTATGGCAAACTGCACTCCTGGGCACACAGGGGTTGTTCAGGCTTTTAGCTGTCTCCCTCCTCAGGTTAGCACAGGGGGAAGAAACAAAAAACCCGGCACCCCATTCTCAACTCCCGTTCATCTGGATTCACAAGCACCTCCCAGCCCTGCGAAGCTTCTGAATTGCAGAAACACTGCAGAAGTCTGTGACTGTTGGCAGGGAGCAGCAATTTTTCCATCTTTTGTCTTTAATTTCAAGAAGCCAAACCCATTTTTTTATTATTATTTTTTTTTGTGGGGCATTATTAGTGCATTTGCTGCGTCTCTACTTAACGCCCAGCAGATCAGCAGCCAGGGGAACATTCTACCCACAGACCCTCTTCCAGGGCAGCGGCCACAGGATTCTTAAGGGAGTCCCTCGCTCTGTCTTCTATTGCTGTAGTTAAAATTTGCCACATATTCATTTCTCTGAAAGTCTGAAATAAGACTTCAGGGAGATGCGGTACCAAAGTCCAAGAAATATTGATCTGAGGACATGACTGTGATTAATTAGTGTTGCACAAAGGAACGTATGTCTCAAAGTCCTTTCTGAGTAGCAGTTCCAAAACACTAATGTGTCTTAGAATCACAGAATCATAGAATCTTTTGGGTTGGAAGGGACATTAAAATCATCCAGTTCCACCCCCCTGCCCTGGGCAGGGACACCTCCCCCCAGCCCAGGTTGCTCCAAGCCCCGTCCAACCTGGCCTTGGACACC